TCTGAGGGGTAGAAGCCGGAGGATCAGAAGTTCAGAGTCCATCCTCAGCTACATGGTGAGTTTGAGGTCAACCTAGGGTACATGAAGTCCTGTCTCAAAAAGGAGGGTCTGGGGCTGGAGAGATGCCTCAGTGTTTAAGAGCACTTGTTCTGAAGGAGTCTGGCTTTCAGCATCGCCATGGGAGGAAGGGGCGTGCTCACAAGCACCTGTAACTAGTTCCAAGGACAGAACAGAAAAATAATAAATGATGTTTTAAATAAAGAGGTCTTAGGGAGAGTAATGTGACACGCACACACACACTCACATGCGCACACAGACATACATACACACACAAAAAAATAAAGGAGGAACAGTTGTTATTCCCATTTTTTTTTCAGACTATGAAACTGAGGCTTGTCGTGTTAACTTATCTCAGTTCTCCCACAGAGACTTGTCCCAAAGACAGAGACAAAATCATATTATAACAGCCACCCTGTAGGTGGCACGCAGGACTCCTGTGGAGAGATCCCTCCTAACCCTCGAAGCTGATGTGAAAGATAAACCTGGAGAATCCACCCATTGCACAGAACATGAAACTGAGGCTAAGCCACAGAGAACTCCCCAGCTAGTGACGACCAAAAAGGAATCGGGAGTCACAGTTTGTCCTCAAAGGTGGAGACGGTGAGGCCCGGGTGCTCAGGTGACCTCTGGAGGGTGAGGAAGAGCAGAGAGGGAAGGAATGGGAGAAGTATGCAGCCCTGGTGGTGAGAGCCTCAGAGCACCCCTAAATCCTCACTGGAAGGCTTTCCACTCTTCCGCTCTTCTCCCTCCCCTTTGGAAAAGGCTGAGCGGTGTCCCCCCTCCCCCTTCTCCCGCCTCACTCTCCCTAGGGTGCACAGACCTAAGTGGGGCCTTTAGAAAAGAGAGGCTGGATCTGGTCAGCTGATGCTACGTGGGGCCCAGAGCGCAGAGCAGGATTTTCCAAATGACATATTTATTTATAGAGCACCTTGTTCGCAGCAAGGATGGGACTGTTCCCAAGGAGGCTCCGGGGCGCGTCCACTACCCCACCGCGAAGCCATCCAGATAGGCAAGATAGATGGCCGCATCCCTTCTCCGAGCGCCAACGGAGTTAAGAGTTGGAACTGTCCCCACCCCCACCCCAATGACAACACTATTTCACAGTCCTAAGAAATATCACCTAAGAAACTGTTCCCAGAGAATGGAATGAAGTTAAGACGTTTATGGAGCCTGGAATGTTGCTGGGGCTTCAACTGCAGACAGACTGCCCGGGAGGCAGAGCGCCTGAGGAGGAGCCAGGCACCCTGGGCTGGAAAGCCGTGGCTGTCTGGCGGCCATCTAGGCTCCTCCGCAGCAGTGGCCAGAGGCTGAGGTCCGAAACCACAAGGCCATACTTCCGTGACAGACAAGGCAGGTCAAAATCTCCCACTACAGGGCTCTACCTCTTTGTAACTCCGCTACTGCCCCTCCCGGCTCGGCTCTATACACTCTCCCGCGGCCCCAGGATGAATTTGTCTTAGGAAGACAAACAGACCCTCAAAAGACAAGGCTCCAAAGTAGAACAATACCCATGGCATGTCTTTCTGTGGTCATCCCTGCACAGGGGTGTTGAAAGGAAGGCTGACTCAAGGTAAAGGTACGCGGTGACATCTTCCCAGACACTGTCCCCGATGAAGGCCGGTGGCCGCCAGCCTCCTAATACTCTGGAAGCATGCTACCATGCTACCGGCTTCTTTGCATGCCTGTCTCAAAAGAGCAAACATTTCAAAGGCGTTGGCAGTGGAGGGTAGGCAAAGAAGACGGGCAGGGAATGCTTCTCAGTTTGGGAAAGGATTTCAAATATTTGGGGCTGGATGGCTCTCCGGGACAGATGGCACTCTGTGGTTCTGACCCAGTCCGCCACCCCACCTGAATCAGACTTTAGATGTCTCCATTCCTAGCTGAGCCACCCACTGACCCATCTTCGGGCCACACCTGTCGGTGGGAGTGTTCAGTGGCAGGTGGCACAGCAGTAGGGGTCCGTATGGGGGGAGCCCTGCAGGCTGGGAGATCCCAGTGCCTTCTCAAGACCCTAGTCCTTGTGCCGCCTGTGAAGCATTTTCTACACATCTTTATTCATACTTGTCTGTTTGGGTTTGCAACAAAGTTGGAGATTCCTGCCCCACCCCCACCTTTAGATTTGGGAGCGAGAACAAGGATGAAGGAGAAGACAGCAGCCAACAGACCTCTTTGGCAGGGAGGGCGCTGGAAACTCCTTTCTGCCATGTTCACCAGCTTTTCCCAGATCCAGGCAGGAGGGCCACAGGAGAGAGGACCTTGAAGGGGCCATGAGGCAAGTACTGGTATCCCCCAGATGGACCCTTCCTTTTCAACTCCTTCTAACTTTTGGTCTTCATTTACGTCAGTAAAACGAGGGTAAGACTGATGAACAGGTCAGTCTCAGGATCCCTGGTGGTGCCCAGGTGACAAGGGTCCGTGCTTTGAGATGTAGGAGTTGAATTCCCAGTTGGACACATCCTGGACCAAAGTCATCCTCAATTTCTTCATTTGCCGGAATCAGCAGGCCACCTGAGCCAGAGAGCGAGGGTTGTGGCTGCAGATCCAAGCTGGTTTGGGGAGAGGTCCCGGTAGGGACTCTGCTGGCAGGCATTTCTTGAAAACTTCAGCCTAAGAAGGCAATGATGGACCAGAGGGTCAGGTGTGGAGGGCTATCGTTGAAAGTGAACCGTGTTTGATCAGTGTCCCTGGTTAAGGCCAGCCGGGATAAACCCAAGTGAAGGTTTCCGCCAGTGTCTCTGGGTTTGCTTTCATTTTTATCTCTGCAGTTTTATCATATCTTTGCCCGGCCGCATCGGCTTCTTGAGTGCTGGTTATCAGACAAGGCTGTGTTTGGGTAGAGATCAGAATCACTCAGGCAGAGAGTTGGACGGCTTGGGCTGGGCACTCCAGGACTTCCATCTCGGAAACTCCTTGCCCCGATTTCCTGGAATGCCCCGGATTGGATTTGCCAGGGACAGAGCAACCTGAGATAGACCCGTATACGGCCAAGAACAACCTGTGTGCCCACAGAAGTTTTAGTCGAAAAATTATCCAGCGTTCAATAGTGGGTGTTAAAACCCCAATACTGTGACCCCACCATGCCTCCTTGCTGCTGGCAACATTGCTGGGGTGGGGGTGAGGGATTCTGAGTTTATCGGAAGTAGAGATGAAGCCCCTAGTCCTAAGGTGCAGAAGGCTGGGCCGAGCAGAACTGCTAGCATTGAGCTCCGTGCAAACCTTAGGAATCTGACCTTCTGGTAACTATCCTTTTCCTCAACTGCCCCATGGAAGCAACACCCTAGACCAACTTTTCCCAGGGCTGTATTTTTCACACCGCTGCTCTGGGGAGACCTGGGAAGAAGCCTCTAACATAACCTGTGTTCCAAGACAAGACCTTGTGTAGGGCCTGTTGGGGGGGGCTTCTCTCTAGCTACCTGCTCCAGAATGGTCCTCGTTAAAAAGCCACCTCTTTTCTTTCCCTGGGCCAGTCACAAGGCACCAGGAGTTCTGAATCTTAAGATGGGGGCAAGCTTTTAGGGAGGCCCCTAAAACATCTGGGAAAGGGGAGAGCCAGCTGGCTCAGAAGCAACTCACTTCTCATGGGGCAAGGCAAGAGGTTTGAAGAGAGCCATGCAAAATGAAACCAGAGTTGGGAGGGACCAGAGATCTGACCCCTTTCTAAGCTATCTGCTCTGCTCAGGAACCAAGATATACCTGGCCTGGGCCCTTCCTCTGCCTGCCTCCTCCATGGCACCCCAGTCCAGCCCACAGTCTCCCCACTTTATGGAGGATAATGAAGCATGGGCCATGTTCTGGCATCGCAGGTTGAAAGATTGTCTTACATATACGGGAGCATTACCAGGATTTAAACCTCCCCTAATTCTATTTCAAAACAGCACAGATACAAAACTTGCAGTTTTAACAGTAACACGATATACGTGTTACAGTGGCCACCGCTGAGCTAAGCAGAGGACCTGCAAAGTCCCAGAGGACCTGCAAAGTCCCCCCCCTTCCTGGTTAACATGTTCTGTGCAGAAAGAACTCTCATGAACAGTACATGTTATGGACTGGGGTGGGAATCGGTGATCTGCCCAGAGTCCAACACACAGGCCTGCAAGGAAGTTGTATCTTTCAGGGAGCAGATAGGTAAGAGAGGGACAGCCCCCCCCCCCAGGTACATTTAGCAAGGTTTGTCCCGATTTGCCTTCCTTTTCTTTTTTTTTTTATTTTAAGAAATGAGATATCAGAATCAAAAAGAAAAATAATCTCCCTGTTATTCAGCATGCTGAAAACCAGAGCCATTTTGGTGCTAAAATACCACATGCTCTTGAGCAGTTTGTCTTTCCACCGCACTGGGGTAAATATTTAAAGCCCAAATTGAGAAATAAATCGGACTGAAATTCACTTCTAATCTGATCCCAAAGCTAGCCATTAAATACCAGAGACCAACACTCTCTGCTTGTTGCTGGCACACTTAAAACCCCAACAGGAGCAAGAAGTCCGCATCTAAGGAAATGGAGGGAGCGCAGGAGTCACCCAGGCTCCCGCTACGTTGAGGTTAGCAAGCTGCAACCCGTTTGTCCTTTCTCTGTTTCTCCCCTAAAGAGAGGACAGCTGGACACAGAGATAGAGTGACACCATTTTGTTTTGACAATTGGCAACAGTTTTCTGCATCCCACAAAGCATTTCGTTAACAGGCCAGCTCGCTGCCCTCAGGCAACCCTGTCCGTGTGTGTGGAGAGAGAACAGTTTCTCAGATTGCCTTGAGCAGGAAAAAAAAAAAAAAAAAACAAGGATGGGATATTTCAACAAATCAAGAGCCCTTTCTATTAGTAAATTAGAGCTCCATTGTCCTGTACATGCACCCTTGTACCAGGTCACCTGCACCATAAAAATAATCACAACTGGGTTTACTACATCTTCCCTTTTAAAATTCAAGAACACAAAGACACTGTCCAAACTTTTGGGCAGAAAAACAACATGGGTTTATTTTAAGGTAAATACAACACTGAGATCACATAAGACAAACACAGACGAAAGTTGAAATTTTAAAGTCTTTTTGTGTGTTTTAGGAATACTCCAGATGGCGTCTACTGTACAAAGCCATGCACTTCCTAAATTCAAAGTATCCAATACTTAATTCCGTTATCCAACAACAACAACAAAAAAATAAATAAATTATTTTCTTGTTTTGTAAAAGATCTACAGTTGGGGAAAAAAAACTATGTTTTATCATGGTACTGTGGGGAGAAAAGACCCACACAGGTTTCTTGAATTCAATTTGGCAGTAACGGTTGGGCAAGATGAAACCTTATCCAGTGGACACAACTTTAAATATTATATTAAAGGCTCTGAGTAACATCAAAATAGCCTGGTTACAAATCCGCACTCGTTTACAGAAGGCACCTTATCCGGAGAGACCTCTTGCGCCCGTGGAGAGTCTCCACAGAAGTCATTAGGGGTCCCTGTGGGGTTTGGTCCATAAACTAATCCATTAAAGCCCCAAGGGGAGCGGGCGCAGCATCCGGGTAGGGGAAGGGGACTTTTTTTTTAAATCGGTATTTCGTTTTGCTGGGCTGTATCCCCCTTAGAGGGACTCGCTGAGATCTCAAACTGAGCTGCGGATAAGTTACCTGCGAGTTGCACGGAGCTCTCTGCTCCCGGGTCTGAGAGAGGGGCGCGTTCCGTCGCTTTCTGCGGCTCCGTCGAAGAAGGTCCCATGGGGAGGCGAAGCCGGTGCGGGCCTGGGGCTGGAGCGGACTGGACGCTTCAGTATTTGGTGCAGTCGTAGGAGTAGGGAGCTGCATGGCGGTAGAGGGACGGCGTAGCTCGGTAGGGCAGCTGACAGCTCGCATTGCTCACCTGGGACTCCCCGAGGGTCGAGTTGTCCAGTCCTAGCCGGTGTGAGTTGAACATCTCCCGGACATTGGGGAAAGTTTGCTGTTGGGTCGCGAACGTGTGGCCGGGGAGGTGGCTCAGGTCCCCGCCGTGGTTCAGATACCAGGAGGTGGCCTGGGTGGCGGGCTGCGGCGCGGGAGGGGGTTGCGGGGCGGGCGGTGGCGCCTGCGGGTGGAGGTGACCGTGATGCTGGTGGTGGTGGCCCGAGGCCCCCAACGCGCCCTCCTGACCTGCTGCGAGGTTGAGGGCGCCGAGCGGGGAGCCGGGGCCGCTCGGGTGGTCCGACAGAGCCTCGTCCAGCGCCGGCGGAACGCACACGTGCGCTGGCCTCTCGGCCCCGGTGTACAGGCTCATGGCCCGCATGCTGCACTGGTAGCCCGCGGAGCCCGCAGCCTCCAGACCCTGTGCGCACGGCTGCGCGTAAGCGGCGGGTGGCGCTGCGGCGTATGGCAGCGCCAGCGGCGGCACCACCAGGCCAGCGCGCGCGGCCGCTGGGCTCAGGTCGCCGCCCGGAGGCGACGTGCGCAGTGTCATGATGGTCTCCACGCTGAAGCCGGGCAGCCCGTTGGGTGCCGCGGCATGGTGCTCTGGCAGCGAGCCATCTGGGGAGCCGGCGGGTGTGGAGGCTGCGCTACGGGGGCTGGCTTGCAGCGCGCCCTCGGGGCTCAGCGTCTCCACCTTGGTGATGACCGGCAGCGCGGGTGACGCCGCCTCGCTCTTGACCACCACTTTCTTCTCGGCCTCCTTGGGCCCGTCAGCTACCGGGGTCCCTGTCGGGGCACCCTTGGCCGCGGCCGGGGGCGGCTCCTTGAGATGGGCCCGCTCCTCCTTGTCCTTGGGCACGTCCTTCTTCTTGAAGCGCCGCCGCCGCCGCAGGAAGCTGCCGTTCTCGAACATGTTGTAGGAGTCCGGGTCGAGCGTCCAGTAGCTACCCTTGCCCGGCTTCTTGTCGTCCCGCGGCACCTTCACGAAGCACTCATTGAGCGACAGGTTGTGGCGGATGCTGTTCTGCCAGCCCTGCTTGTTCTCGCGGTAGAAGGGAAAACGGTCCATGATGAACTGGTAGATGCCGTTCAGGGTGATTTTCTTCTCGGGCGCGTTCTGGATCGCCATGGTGATGAGCGCAATGTAGCTGTAGGGCGGCTTCACCAGGTCCTTGGGCGCCGCGGGCTGGTGGTGGTAGGGCGCGTAGGAGCGGCCCATGCCGGCGCCGTACTGCTCCGGGTGGCCGGAGTAGACGCCCATGGGACTGGCCATGCCGCCGTAGCTGCCCGCCGCCCGGTAGTAATTTTGCTCGCTCAAGTAGGGTACCACTCCCAGAGCGTTGGGGTCCGACACCGAGTAGCGCGCCTGCATGCTGCGTCCCAGACGCCCGGCCTCCGCCTGCGCGCACCGACTGCGGCCCGCGGCGAGCGAGGCCCGGAGCAGGAGAGCAGGAAGGGAAGGAGCGATGCGAGCAGCCCCAGCTCGGGGCAGCCTCGCAAGCCACGCGCGGAAGACGCCGGCGCTCGGGTTCAGCCGACCGGGCGGATCAGCATCCTGAAGGGCGCACCCCGGGCGGCCCCGCTGGCCGCGCGCTCTCGCCCCGGCGGGTGGCAGCCCTGAGCTGGCGGCACAGACGCCACGCGCGACCGTGGAGAGAGACCAGCCCTTCCGAATGCTAGAAAAGAAGACAGCGGATCTCGGGGCCCCACCAGGAGAACGGCAGCCCGAAGCGTCAGCGAGCTGGGGTCCGGAGAGGCTGCGCGGCCGAGCCCGGAAAAAGAAGCAAAGTCCCTTTTAGGGATTGGGAAAAGTTTCAAAAGTCTTCTGGCTCAAAGCGAGTTTTTACTTTCTTCAGGCCGCGCCCCCTCCAGGAAGTTTGCACCAATCATCTGGCAGCTCAGGGAAGGATGGCGCCAATCAGAACGAGGAGCGCCTGAATCCGTCGGCTCTAAGACCCAGTTGCTCTTAGCCAGCTCGCCCCCCACTTCCCAACCCCAGCTCAAGTTAACTTGAGGACTTTTAAAAATGAGTTACATCTTATTAAATTTTATTTTATTATCACATTTTGTTTAACGAGACCACGTGTCCGGAGCAAAAAATAAAAACCTATTCCTTTGCAAAATAAGAAAGAGGTTTAGTTTAAAATATAAAATCGAATTGATGATGTTGGGCAGAGATCTGCCTCCCGAGACCTTGTAAGTAGGAAAGAGCCTGAAGATTGTTTTTCTCATTAATGGGTGAAGAGGCTAGAATAATTAGATTTCTTAATTATCGGGGGCCTAGTTGTAATGGGTTCCGAGCAAACGGACGGAGCGTGCACAGTCTGTGATAAATAACCCACAAGACGCTTCCAGGTCGGAGTGTTGAAGAACCCACAAAGGAGGCCGGGTGGTAGAATTCGGTTCCTCTCTCTTTCACGACGGGAAGGAAGGCTTGGTGGGAAAGCCAAGCCGGGAAGGTAACACCTAAGGAGCAATTGATCCTCCTGTCTTCGCTGAGGCTTAGGTGATGGATCTACGTCCTCCAGCCCATTTCGTGGGGTTCGGGAAAGCGCAGGGACCCAACGGTTGCTTTCCTGGGCTCCTCTCCCGCATAGAGGGCTAGCCTCCCGTGCCATCCATCCCGGCTTCTCTCCCTTCTCCCCACCTACGAAAGCGCTCCCCGAAGGTTTGGACAAGGCAGCCAGCCTCCCCTCCCCCGGGAGCTGGTGTCCCTGTTCGCCGTGGGAAGCCCCAGGCCTGCTCTCCACCCCAGTTTCGCCACTGGAGACGCAAAGGATCGCCACACAGTGTAGCCTCCGACCCGCTTTCCTAGTCGGTGCTGGGCCCAGCGCAGATCCCACTCCGCGGCCAGCATCTCTGGGAGCCTGTAAATTGACTATATTTCAGGCTGTGTGTTTTACTGAGTTTTCATAAGGTCAGCTGAGGAGCAAGGGCTCCTTAGAGGGCCTGGTAACTGAAGGATTTTTTTTTTTCCGTTGCCAGCCTTGACGCACAGCGACACCGAGTTCCCCGACCTTCAAGCGTGCTCCTTCCCTCTAGGAATCCCGGGGACAGTTTGTTTATTTGTGGACTGGTTATTTATTCCTTCAACACCTCCAATCGTCATCGGATCCCTGCTCGGCCGCTTCTTCAGAAGCACTGAGACGGCCCTACGGAAAGGCTCTGTGCCTCGCAGAACCTTCTGGAAGTTGTTGGTCCGGTTGGGTAGGGAAGAAGGCGACAGATAAAACATTTGTTTCAGTCTTTCTCTTCCTCCGACTCCCCCCACCCCCACCCCTCGTTAGATTTTTCGGCAAAAGGCTGTGAGAGATTAGAACTCACTTTTTCAGCTCTGACTTTAGTGGCATTACACGACTTCTCATCGAAACAGCAAAATAAGTATTTATGTGTATTATCTTTGACTCGATGACCAGAAATTAAAGGACAGGGCTGCACAGGACCCCGTGACCTGGATGGAGGATCTTGGGAAACACACTTTTGTGGCTGTTCTGAATTTTTTTTTTTTGGACTAATTCCTTTCCCCCTTTAAGCTGCAAAATAAGGCTTCCCGGGTGCAGGTCGGGTGCAGATCTGGGTAGGGGGTTAAGCCTTCTCCTCTACTCTCAGGGACCCAGTAAGAGTTATTGTTCCAATGGTCCTTAGTGTATTTTCATTACCCCCCTCCTTTTTAAAAAAAAAATACTGTGACAGAAAACGTCTTGCCCCTCATGAAATTCGTGGCAAGTAGTGTTGAATTTTTCTCACGATGTCGCTAAAAATTCCACTCATTGATCAAGAAACACCCCCCCCCCCGAGGCTTGCTGGAGGGGCACAAATTAAGCTGCTTTTATGAGGTAGGTGTGTGTGTGTGTGTGTGTGTGTGTCCCCGTGTTAAACAGCTTTATCAAAACACAGGGCAGAAACCGAACGCTTCGGACTATGAAATCTAAATTGGCAAAGGCCGCTTTCTGCCTCCATATGCCCAGATCGAAACCAGTGTCTTCTTAAAAGAACTTTGGTTTAATTCTCAGATGGATCGACCCTCGCCTCCTCTCCGAAAGAAAGGGTGAGGGCTCCGGGAGAGGCTCAGAGAAGTCGTAGCGATGTTCCTTCGCTCTGGACCTGGGCTTCGGGCTTCTGTGGAGCACTGAGAGATGTTTGTTCCGGTTTCTAAAACAACACTTTGCACACACACACCTGGACTTGGCAGGAACCAGGTCCGGCTCCGGCAGCCTGCAGAGGCCTCGGCTCTCTAAGACTTGCTACATTCTTGCTTATTGCCTGTTCCTTCTCTTCCTTGTCTTGTTGTCAACGAGTCGAAGGCAAATCAGACCCCAGAGAGCCCTGTGTGTTTGTCAAATAATAAGCGATGAAAAGGGCCGGGAGGTGCCTCCCCCGCTTCCCGCCGGCCCTTCTTCCTCGGCAGGCGCCACGGCTTCATCACCTGGAGGCGCCTGGCGAATACTCCGTGGGTGATGGTGCCATCTTGAGGCCGGTTGTGGAGCTACAACGGAAAAGGCGGGGGGCGGGGAGCGGGGAGGAGCGAGGACAGCCAGACAGGTTTGGTTCTAATGAAGGTGCTGACACCTTGTGGACGCCACGACGCCTTGCACTGCAAGAGTAAAGCCTGCGGAAACCCAGAAAGAAGGCAAGCTTGGCTTACAAAAAGCCATTTTCCGAATGAAGGGGCTCTGAGCTCGAGCGTGGCAAACATGGCTCTGGCAAGCCTTACCCTTCTCTCTCATTCCCTCAGCCTGGCTAAAAACCGTTGGATTACATTCCTAAAGCTAGCCCCGAAGGTCTATTTTCTTATTTGGCCACTTCCTCCTCCTGAGGCTGACTACCAAGGTCCAGATATCAAAGTTTTGAAGTCCTGAAGTCAGAAGTTCCTCTTGCTTCACGTAATTAACATGCCCGGTCAAAACATACCACAGCATCCTGGCCCGTTCTAACACAGGATCCCCCCCTTCTCTTCTTTAAAGTTATACCTGCAAGGTCACTGGCTCCTGTTTCTCTGCCAGAGACAAAAAAGCAGCCAGTTTAACCTTTCTTCTCCACCCATTAAAGAATTTCTTTGTGAAAACAGGTGTTTGGGTGTGGTTTGTACCTAATCCGGGGTCTAGGAGGGCGCCCCCCACTGGCAGGGTCTCTTTCACTGAAGCTTTGCCATGTGTTGAGGCTGAGAGACAGAAACATCTTTGAGATTTCTAGCAGTTTCGAGAGAAGCAAGGAGGTTCTTCCACATGGCTGGCTAGAAGGCTGGATTCACCCCACCGGGTTGTTGAACAAATTGGCTACTACTTGCAGAGGTGTGTTGTGAGTGCGAGTTGGGAAGTTGAGCCGAGAGCTGTTCAGATATGTGATGAAAGGTCAGGTCTGGAGACTTCTGCCTTCCAGGCCCAGCCTGGACCAAGGCAGACAAGCCAGAAGCGATTTTGTTCTCAACTCTCTGTTCAGAATCCTCTGGGTCTGGGAGATGCCTTCAGTTTTAGGAACCAGATAGCAGAAGAGTCCCAGGTTCCCAAAGGCTTCTTGAAAACTGACCTGTGGGTTAGACATGGGCAGAGAAACCCACTTCTCTTAGAGACAGGCTCTCACTATGTAGATCAGGCTGGCTTGGAACTCACAGAGATACACCTGGTTTTGTTTTCTGAGTGCTGGGATTAAACGTGCACACCACGCCCCAGCATCAGAGCTATTGGTTGATTTATTGGTTGATGAATTGAGATAGCATTTCTCTGTGTCTGTGTGGCCCTTGTTGTTCTGGAACTCTCTGTAGACCAGGCTGGTCTCAAACTTAGAGCTCTGCCTGCTTCTGTCTCCTGAGTGCTGGAACTAAAGGTGTACACTACCACCGCCTGGCCACAGAGCTACTTTTTTTTTTCTTAAAGATTTATTTATTCCATGTATGTGAGTACACTGTTGCCCAGTAGAGGGCGTCAGATCCCATTACAGATGGCTGTGAGCCACCATGTGGCTGCTGGGAATTGAACCCAGGACCTCTGGAAAAACCTGTTATCAGGACAAATGTCTCGGTCCTTGATGGATCCTAACCCAGTTTAGTGAGAATTTTCCAGAAGTTGCCACGGTAAAGGAACTGATGAGGATAGGAGTTGCAAAGGACAAGAAAGAGCCCAGAGACTCCATGCCATGCTTGATGCTATGGGGCAGAAAGCTAACAAAGGGCAGGTCTGAGGGAATCAGAATCCAGAGTGTGCCCTGGACAGCCATCTTCCCCAGGTTAAGATTCCTGAGTGAGATAGGAACTGTGCTCAGGTAAGAACAGGTCCTGCCTGTAGCAAGCGCATGTCAAAATATTTAGGGCTGATGTCACAGCCTCTGCAACTTTTAAAATATTTGAAAGGGGTTGTGCCATCGAGCAGAGCAACTGCCAGGCACACGCTGCCCCGTTTTCCATCCCAGCACTACAGAAGAAGACAGGGAGAGAGGAAAGAGAGAAGGAAGAGGGGAGAAAAGGGATGAAGGAACAAAGGGAGGAAGGGGAGGGAGGGGGAGGAAAGGGGAGGGAGAGGGAGGAAAGGGGAGGGAGAGGGAGGAAAGGGGAGGGGGAAGTAAGTATTCAACCAAAGATGGGTGGGATTTTAGCCTGTTTTCCAGCCTGTGATACTCTGACAAAAGAAATTTCAGCACACAGTTCCTCAATTTGCAGAAGCGGTGGCAGTGGCAGCGTGGGGGAGGGGGTACAGGGACAGGGCAGGAGCTGCACACTGTAGCCACAGTGAAGGGAGCCAGGACACCCATGGGTGCTGGTGTTCATCTCTGCTTCACACAGTCCAGGATCCCTGGGAATGTGATGCCCACAGGGTTGGGGTCCCCCCCGAATTAATGCCTCCAAGATAATCTCCACAGACAAGCTCACAGCCCCCTCTCCTAAGTGAGCCTAGAGTCTGTCAACTGACAGACAACACTAAGTATCACAGCTGGCAGGAGTAGGAAGCCGAGCCTCATAAATGTAGCAAAATGTAACAAGATGGGGGCTTTTAAAACTTAGGGCCTCCCTTGTAGCAGCCCTGCGATTTTTCTGCATGTTAGGAAATTTTCAAAATCAAAATATCATTATAACTCTGAAAATAGAACAGAAATATAAGAGAGAGAGAGAGCAGTCAGTGAGCTGAGAATGTTCAAGAACCTTCCAGCATCCCCTCTCCCACTGTTCTGGGATTTTTTTAAAACTCTAGCCATGAATAGTTGTGTCGTTGTGAACCCCTGTGACTCACCCTCCAGGCTAAATGGGCTTCTGTGGGAGCCTGCAGACCCTGACTGGAAGGTCAGAAAAGAGAAAGGTGCTGAGGTAGACATTTTGATCTGGGATTCAAAGCCTCTAGATTGAGGATTCCTAGCTCTGAGGATGAGCCACACTCAAACTCCCTAATTTGGACTGGTAACTCAAAGTGGCCACAAGGCAGATTCTGGGACAATAAGATGCTCATGGACTGGGGAGAGCAGGGGCAGAGTGAACCCCTGGGGATCAAGCCACTGCCTGGACCATAGCATCTGAGTTACCTTTAGGAGTGATGAAGCCAGGATCACCCTCACCCTGCATCAGCCAAGGCCCTCTCTAGCCCCACTGCACCTGCTGAGCCTTTGGTCCATCACATTCAGGTACTTGCTCTCTAGCTACCGGACCACCTGCCTCCCCTCCCCTCCACACATACACACCCTCTACCCTGTTCCCTGTTTTTTCAGCTACACCACGCAGTGTGGTGGGATCTGCTTGTATCTGCTGCCGGGCCACACACAGTAGCAGGAGAGGACATCAAGGCAGGCTAGACCCCATGCTGTTAGGAATTCTTTCTTTTTTTAAATTAAAAATGTTTTTGCATTTATTTGGGGGAAGGGGAGATGGACCAGGTTGACTGTGTTGAGGTCATAGGGCAGTTTCCAGGAGACAGCTCTGTCCTTACACTATGTAGGTCCTGGGCTCTGAGGTCTTGCCTCATAATCCAAAGTAAATAAACAGATGATTGTTAAAAAATCTGGTAGAGAGGTGTTTTCTCCACTTCCAGGGAAACATGTTTAATCTAAGAGAGGACTTCAGGAGACAGGTAGTCCAGTGTCCTTGCAGAAGTGTGCTGGTCAGAAGCCTGGGTCACAGTCCTTTCTCTGAGGACAGTCTGACGGTAATGACAACTCTAGAAACTAGGGGATACTGGATGGGACACAGCTGTTCCCTCTATACTGCACTCTCCAGTCAGGGGAATTGAGAGTTAGAAAGGGCTCAGTCGGTAAAATGCTTGCCTTGTAAGGAACGCCCATGCTAAAGAATAAAAATAAAAATCTGGGTATGTCAGTGTAGACCTGAAAATCCAGCAGAGACAGGCAGATTCCTGGGGGTGGGTCAGGAAACAAGCTGGGTGGCTTTTGAGGATGTCACCAGCTTCCTCACACCTCCACACATAGGAAGCACGACTCCAACACACACAAGAAGACAGAAAGAATATGCAAACTGAGGTGCGGTGACACTGGGCTGCAACCCTAGCACATGGAAACTTAGGAGGCTGAGGCAGGAGGATTGTGAGTTCAAGGTCAGGAAAGACTACAACCCTGTCTCAAAACACCTAAAGGAACAGGAAGAGGCAGAAGAAAAGAGGAAATGGGAGGAAGAGGAAGAGAAAAAGGAAGATGGGGTTGGGGGGTAGAGCAGAAAAGCAAACGTTTGCCAGGCATGGTGGCTCACAACTTTACACCCAGCCCTTGGGAGAAGAGACAAGTGGGGCCGGGATTTCAAGGCCAGCCTGGTCTACATGATGAGTTGTAGGGCCAGCCAGGACTGCATAGTCAGATGCTGTCTCAAAAAAAAAAAAAAAAAGTGTACCAGTCATTTTGTCCCATTAGTGGGCAGGAAGAGCAGAGTGCTAACAGACTCTAACCCACTGAGGAATCCGTGAAGATGGCAGCTGTGAGGCCACCTATCCCATCCCAGGGAGGGGGCAGTTCAGAGAAGCCTTGCCTCTTCAAGGTGCAAAGAAAGGCAAGCTGCAAAACAGACAACAGATCCCCACCCCCATCAGAGGCTGGGTGCATGGGGCTGGGCGGCCACCGGGGACATCCTTAGCCCAATCAGATGTTCCAAACGCACAGTATGCTGACTACAAGCAAACACCAAGCAGCTTTGGTCTCTTTCTAAGCCACCTACCTCCACTTCTCCTTGCATTGGGAACACACACACACACACACACACACACGCACACGCACACCTGGGAAGACTGGAGCCAGATGCCAGAACCGGCATGACCACCAAAGCCAGAGATGGACAAAGGCAAAGCTCAAGTGGGTGTATGTAAATGACCACTGAGGAATCAGAAGCCTCCAGGCCTGGCACTTGTTGTCTGCGGTCCCCTGCTTACAACGCTCTTCATCTCGGGAGTGCCTTTTCTTTCCTTAATAAATAGTCTTTATTTCTATGTCTAAGCACGTGTTCCTGGTACAATTCTTGGTACAGGAAGTTGGAAATCCTAGATCCACTCCTATATACAGCTTTCCTTGTTAACCTTGAATTTCAAGTGCTGTTTCTACAGCTACTATACGTACTTGCATATTTAAGATATACATATATATATATCTCGCATGTGATATATATATGACCCCTGTAGTTTTTTGTGGGCATGATGTGTGTGTATGCGCTCACGACACAGCACAGCTTGTGAAGGTCAAAAGACAACTTTAGGGAGTCTTTTTTTTTTTTTTCCTCCTGCCACCCTGTGTTTTGGTCCGGAGGATCGAACTCAAGTTGTCAGGCTTGATGGCAAGCGTCTTCACTCGCTGAGCCATCTCGACGGCCCTATCAGTGTTATATGTTCCATGCGGTACAAATGCATGCGTGTTGTGTGCGTGTATGCCCCGGGGCAGTCCTGGGCATCCGCGTTCAGAGGCGGCTCCAGTGGTGGCTTCGATCCTCTAAGGCGTCCGAGGCTACTGCTGGGAACCCCAACCCCAGAACGGGATCCCCGCCCACTGCATCATCCACGCATGCCTGGTTACTTAGCTTCAGTGCGCATGTGTAGCACGAAGCGCGGCTGTCTGACGTCACTAACGCGCCGGGATGCGCTACGGGGGCGTCGCTCGGTGACGTGGTAGCCATGGAGACCCAGGAGGGTGAGAACGGAGGGCAGTGGGGAAACCGAGGCTGGGACGGCGCGGTCGTCCACGTGGTCCGCATGCGTGGGGAGGACGCGGCTCCACCTGTTACGGCTGGGACGCCGAGGCTGACAGCCGGGAGGGAGGGTCAATCCGCCCTCGCCCAGCCGGGCTAGGCAGGTTTAAACCAGCCAGGGCTGGGGACGTCGTCGCGCAGCATTGAGCACCTGCCCGCGCTGCAAAGCGTTTTCAACAAGTAGGGAGTGTGTGCACCAGCCACAAAGTGTGGAAAGCATCCATTGCTGGACAGAGGGCTCTGCTGGTGCTAACGCTGTGACGCCTTCACAAAGTTTGGGGCTGGAGAGGAAGTGGGGGGGGGGAGAGAGCGAGGAGAGAGATTGAGTGAGAGAGAAAGCGAGAGAAAGAGGAGAGGGCGGGAGAGGGGAGGAGAGAGAGAAAGGAGAGCGACTGAGCGAGAGAAAGGAAAGAGCTGGAGAGGGAGGGAGGAGGGGAAAAGAGGAGAAAGAGAAGGAGGAAGGAAGGGAGGGAAAGAAGAGAGGAGTAAGAGAGAGAGGGAGAGATGGGGAGGGAGGAGAGGAGATACATAGAGCGAGCAGAGCGAGTAATGATTAAGAGCGTTTGTTGCCAAGGACCAGAGTTCAGGCCCAGTGAGCCTGTGTGGTGGCTCACAAGTCCAGTTCTCACAAGTCCAGTTCCACCGGAAGGGACCCAGTGCTCTGCGGCTCCTGCGTGCACACACACCCACCCAGGTTACTGGCGGTGCACATATACAATAAATACATCTTTGGTTTTGTTTTCTTCGAGTCAGGGTATCTCTGTGTAGTCCTGGCTGCCCTGGAACTCACTCTGTGTTTCAGGCTGGCCTCGAAATTAGAGATTCGACCTCCTCTGCCTCCCAAGATCTGGGATTAAAGGCATGCGCCACCAAGGCACCAGCCATAAATAACAAGAAAGACAAATGTACTTTCTATACACCAGTCTTGTGAGGCTTGTAAGGTCATTTGTAAGGGTTTAACAATTTAAAAGGACAGGCTGGGCGTGTGGCTCAGTGATAGTGCTCTTAGAATTCTTAAAGCCTCAAGTTTGACCCACAGGGCCACTAAATAACTCAAAAGACGACCTTCTAGCTAGACCCAGTGGCACACACGTAATGCTCGATACTTAAGGACTTCAGGTTCAAGTCCCATCTTGAACAGAAAGACACCCTACCTCCAAAAGGTGTGTAGCTCACTAGTAGAGACCTTGCCTGGTATGCAGGAGCCCCTAGCACTGCAGAGAAAAGAATACAAATTAATTTACGGCTAGGTTTTACAGTCCACTGCAGCTTCCTAGCAGAAAGGAAGGCACTTCTCTCAACTGGTGAAGGAGCTTGAGGGAAAAACCAACATTTTGGGTGTTTTAAACTGGTCCGATTCAGTCACAAATTCCGGTGCAAATGATGTCACTCCAGCAGGTATACAAGTGCCAGCGTGCATTGTGGGATGGTTTTTTATCAGTACGTCACAGTCCTTTGATGTCATAGGTGTCTCCAAGCAAAGCATACGTGAACGGATTTGGGACTACATGGAATCCCATGATATAGCTGACTTTCCCCGACCTGTCCACCACAGGATCCCCAACTTCAAGGTACAGAAGTGTTCCTGGGATTGTTAGAAAGGGATCAAGCTATTCATATCAGTGACACAGATCCAATGCTTTCTGGTGGGATGGATTTTGGGGGCACAGTGTGTGGAGGCAGAGTCCGGAGGGTCTGGGGGGGGGGCACGTGGTGTTTTGACGAATCCTACTCCATGACCCCTTGGGCCATGCACAGTCTCTGAGCTGGCGTCCCTCAGCCACTTAGGGAGGGGCTTGTGGAGCCCACAGAGGGAAGCCCAGCCTTTAGTACCAGCCCTGGACCTCAGTGTCCTAACTGTTCAAAATATAAGTCAACCCGAGATGGCTACTGCTGATAGTTTGCATGGGAAATAGTTTGCCTTAAAGAGGCAGTGTAAGACAGATGCTGGCTCAGGCTGGCCATCCTGGCAGGCGGAGGCAGGGGGATCAGGAGTTTGAGGTCATTCACAGCTACATCGTGAATTGGAGGCCTGACTGAGCTGCAGAAGACCCTGAAGAGAGAGGGAGGGGTGGGGTATTGAGAGATAGGTTTTGAAAAAAATTCTGAAGTGCTTTGTGAAGACATACCAAGGCCCTAGTGGACTTAAAACCAAGCATCCACCAGCACCCTATGTTGCCTGGAATTTCTCCTTACATTGGCCTGGCTCTGGTCCTGACCGAGCCTGCTGCAGACTGGAGGCCATCCCTCCTTTGTGTTCTGTGGGAGACAGATGAACATGGAGTTCAGGGAAGAGGGCGGAGGAAGCACAGGACCTGCTCAAGGTCTCAGGAGTGAATCACACAAGGCCTCAGGCCGTCCTGCTCCTTGACTGGGCAGTGCTTACAGGAGCTCCGTTCTCTTGTGGAAATCCAGCCCGATTCTGCCCTTGAGACTTGTGCTCTCTTCAGAGTTTTCTTCCAGTAAAAACTGAGTTCTGGGTTAGCCCTTTCCACACTGTGCTCTTTCTGTCTCCTTGGGGGGATCTGGCCTCATGCTGGGCTGTGATGCCTGGGCCAGACCTGGCCCGTACCTTCATGGTGACACGCAGTCACGTCTACACAGGGTGCTTCTCATGCTGCAGAGCATTTCCCTCACCTGCACGCTTTCAGTGTGGCCAGAACCATTAAAGTTAACCCTGATGCTCCTCAGAGGAACGCCCGCTTCCTGGTGCTGGAGGTAAGGGTGGCACTGTGTCTGCCTAACTAGGGGTCCTACCTGGCTGGCCAGAGCATCAGAGACCTGGAAGTCTTTGCTGGGACACAGGAAATGAAAGTGGACCCTGATAAGCCCCTGGAAGGTGTCCGCTTGCTGGCACTGCAGGTAACTCCACTTTCCTAGGCTGCCCTCAGTCGTCTTCCTGATGCGTAGGCACAGTGTATCCAGGTAGACTGAGCCATGACTGCAATTCACAACAGTCTGTTTCTTCGCTACATTGTTACTGTTCTAATTCCTCGAAACAAAAAACTCCTCAGATAGAAATCTGATAACTTTGTCTCCCAAACAGAGCAGAGTCTGGGCACACATGTGCCAGCTGCCTCTCAAAGCAAAGGGAGCATTGACTTTCACTGCTTTATAGCATATCCGTCTATGAGAAGAGACCGTGGTGTGCGTTTTAATGTTCCTTCCTCCTAAGCAATTATAACTTAGAGCAGTCAGAGTGATTAAAGACAGAGCCGCCAAGGTGTCATGGAAGGGCACGGTTCACGTAATGTTGACTGTAGCTCTGCTGAGCCAAGTCCGCTGCTGCTCCAGTCCCACGGGGCTGCTGTTGGCACTGCATGTCAGGCACGGGGCTTTGGAAATCCCCCTGTGACCGCCAGAGGCTGTGTGTGTGTGTGTGGGGGGGGGTGACTCGATTGTCTCCCACTGGTGTCTCAGTAATACAGAAGTCTCAGCTGGGCAGGATGCCTAACACGTGGTCCAGGGAGGAAGGGCGTCGATGTGGGGCTCCTAAGCAGTTCTCTAAGCAGAGCAGGATTGAGCAGGATTTGGCCCATGAGACTGCAGGGAGAAGCAGGGAACCGTGACTGATGGGGGTGGCACAAGGGATGGACACTCTCCTGTCCTGTCACCTGCAGTCCCCATGTGGCCCTCAGGGGATCCAGGCAGGAGAAAGGAAGCCGTCTGGGTCTGCTCAGGTGTTGCTCAGCCCATATCCCTTTCCTCCTGCAGTGGGGAAAACATGCGCCCGCCCTGTAGTTGACTGACTGTCTTCTCCCTCCTCAAAGAGCAAAAAAACACTGCTGGTCCCAACACCAAGACTGAGAACAGGGCTGTTTAACAAGATCACACCACCTCCTGGAGCCACCAAAGACATACTGAGGCGATGTGCCACCTCCCAGGTGAGTGCTGGAACCCCCCCCTTCAGGGACTGTCCCACAGGGTTCACACACAGGTGTGAGAGCAGACTCAGCAGCTCCATGGGAGCAGTAGATCCTTGAATGAATGGGTGGACTGACCTGGAGAAATGCGTGTTAGACAGTTGGCACTCTGGCGCCCTCTTGTGGTGGGTTTGGCGCTGTGCACCTGTGCTGGCTGGAGCAGCGATGGCCCGATGGCCGTCTGCAGAGCAGGCTGGGAAGCGCCTGTCATTTGGAACCGCTGACAGGAGCCTGATTGCCTGTCACCAGACACTTCACAGTCCTGATAAAGTGGTCTGGAGACACACTTGAGGGATGGAGAGCCAGGGTTTGCATCTTAGGTAAAATGACACTTGGTGGCTTTTTAAAGACCCACAAACCCCATGTCATTTCCATAAAGGGATTGTTGTCTGATTCTAACATGTAGCAGTTGATTGATTCACCATTTGCTCATAACTTTTCTTATTGAAGAAATAGAATTGTCGGGGTGTGGGGGGAGGCAACACCTGGAATGTAAGTACATAACAATGTAAAATAAAATAGACTTAAAAAATAGAATCGTCTACGGCTTACAAAAGTGTGTCCACTCTGCTAGAAAGATAGAATGTGTGTGCACAGAGGGCTGGAGTTGGTGGTGCACACCTGAAATCGGCTGCTGGGCAAGCTGGAGTGGGAGGATTGCTGTCCAAACCTGCCCTGGCCTCACAGCAACACTGTCTCTCAGAAGAAAGATTAAAGGGAACTCTGTGTGTGTGTGTGTGTGTGTGTATATGCAGTGTGTGTATATGTATGGGTGTATGTGTGTAGGTATGTATGGTGTGTATATGTGTATGGTGTGTGTGTGTGTATGTGGTGTGTGTGTGCGTGTGTGTATGTATGTATGCGTGTGTGTATGTGTATGTATGTATATGTGTATATATGTGTGTGCGTGTGTATATATGTGAGTATGTGGGGGTTGTATGTATGGGTGTATGTATGTGTGTATGATGTATGTGTGTGTGGTGCATATGTATGTGTGTGTGGTATGTGTGTGTGTGTGTGTGTGCGTGTGTGTGTGTGTGTAGTGTAGTGGACCTCACTAGAGCTCTTCTACAGATATATGAGGCCCCGTATCCCATCACTGAAGAAAATGGGGAAAATTTTTAAAAAGAAAGAGGGAAAGTAAGATGAACCGCAGTTCTGGTGGTGCTCAGTCCCATGGCCGCAGAGACGGCCTGGTGGTGCTCAGTCCCACGGCCACAGAGAGGGCTGGCACAAAGGGTGGGTGCTTCGGGCATGCCCAGCCATGTGCTTTGGACAGACCCACACTGATCTTGCCAGATCTCCAACCTGCTACAGAGGCACAGTCACTCAGACTTTATAGAGACTTCTGATGATCTGGACAGGTGGTTGCACTTGGGGAGCATTTCCAGAAGCAAGAGTGCCTGCATGAAGGCATGGCCACACGGGGGTACCTACTGCACTAAAGTGCATAACCTGTGGCCTCATTTCAAACCAGCATCCTGGTGTCCCTGTCCGTGAGGAACCTGAAGCTCCTGTGACTCCCCAGGGTCTGTCCTACTCGTGTGTCTCTTACCTGGTGCTCAATAGGTGCTCCTGATGGTGCTCACCTGGTGCTCCCGGTGATGCTCACTGGCATTAGTGCTGTGGGACTCTGTGTGGTCAGTGCTGCCCTCTGGCCACCTCCCTGGGATGGGGACTGTAGGAGACTCACCCTCTGATTGCTCCCAGAACTGGCTGTCCCAGGACACTGCCTCCTGGAGGGTGGTGTGGAACCCAACCCCACTCTGCCTGCTCAGAGACTATGAGCTCTTCACGCTTCCCTCCCCAGGGTGTGCGGAACTTCAGCGTCCCAGTGGGCTTGGATTCCAGTGTCCGCGTGGATTTAGTTGTGGTGGGCTCTGTTGCTGTGTCTGAGAAAGGTAAGCTAGAGGCAGGCAGGCAGTCTGGATGTTCCCGAAGGCTGCCCGGTGACCTCCCCACTTGCCACTGTCCATGCGGAGAACCTGACGTCTGTGACTCACGCAGTCTGGAGCGTCCCCACGGGCATGCGTGGAGGCCCACTCATGATTGGAATTATCCAACATTAACTTTTAGCAGACTGATGGTGAGCGGTAATCTCTCTCCTGCCTTTAGTTTTGGTTTTTAAAGATAGAGTGTTGCTGTTTAGCCCAGGCTAGCTTACAGTCTCCATACTGTGTCCTTATATTCTCCTATACTGTATATTTATAGTCTTCTTCCATCAGGTTCCCTGTCCTCCTGTCCACCTCCTGCAAGACCCCCATGCGTGTGTGCCACCATGGAGGACAATGGCTCTCAACCTATGGGTCGTGACCCCTTTGGGCTCACATAACGGCTATCATGCATGTCAGATACATTGTGATTCATAACAGTAGCAGAATTACAGCTAGATGCACCACTGAAATGACTGTACGGTCGGGGGTCAGCACAACACGAGGAACTGTGTTAAAGGGCTGCAGGGTTAAGATGGTTGAGAACTTCCTTCCTACCTGTCTCCTGCCTCAGCTTGCCCAGCCATGTAGTCCACACGTACTGTCTGCTGTCCTCTGTCCCTTTGTCTGTCTTATTCTTTTGCGTATGCATTTCTGACTGTCAAGGGCTCAGGCAGGTCTCAGTCTTAGGCGTCTTGGTGGTGTGCTTGCTCCTGAGTGATGCTGCGGTGGTACCCAGACTCCAGGCAAGGAGAGCCGAAGGCCGGTACTGCCTGCTCACTGCTGTGGTCCTTTGTTCTTCTGCCTGGATGGGCCCATGGCTGTGAAGCCCACTGCAGCCAGCCCACCTTTCCATCCGCCTGTTCTTCCCGGGACAGGAAGACCAAACCTGCCTCTCGAAGTAGAGCTCTCTTCTCTGTTGTCACACACTGACTTTCCGTTCTGATGGCAAAACCTTCTGCCCTCTTCCGAGTCAGCCTCTGAGTGCTGACTGCCGGTCTATGCCCTGGCACCCGGCCCTGCCTACTGCTTTTCAGGGTGTCTTGCTGTCATGACAGCCTCCCAAGTGCCAGTGTGGTCACTCCACGTGGCATCTGAGGCTCCCTCTCTCACTGTGCATTTTTAGCATTGGGTGCCTGTGGTTCGTGTTCTGGGGCCGCCGTGGGTTGCAGTGGACAAGAGGAACTCTGGGATCTTGTCTTTCCACGGAGATCTGACAGGAACCCACTTCCGCTGTGCCCCCGTCTTGTTTCTTAGGCTGGCGAATTGGGAAGGGAGAAGGCTACGCTGATCTCGAGTATGCCATGATGGTGTCCATGGGAGCCGTCCACGAGGGGACACCAGTCGTCACGATTGTCCACGACTGCCAGGTACGTCCTGCAGACCTGTCGCTGGCCTCCTTGCCAGCTACCCTAGGAGTGGGAGCCAGAGACACCTGCTCCTCCTCATGCCTGCCACTAGAGTCGATTGTCAATGCGGGGTTCCTGCTGGGCGGGCCCTGCTGTCACCTGACTGTCAGCTCCCATCCGGTCCAGGTCGTTGACATCCCTGAGGCTCTTCTGGAGGACCACGACCTCACGGTTGACTACATCCTCACTCCCACCAGGGTCATCACTACAGGCTGTGCACGCCCAAAGCCAACAGGCATCATGTGGTCCAAGGTGGGTCATCCCTGTGGCTGACATGGTGTACTGTGGTGGCTCTCGTGGTACTGTGGCGGCTCTCGCGGTGTTCCTTGTGTGTCCTGGCCGCTGTCCACTAGCCTGTGCAGCTGGATATGAGCATTGCCAACAACCAACAACTTTGAATGGTATAGCCCGAGTCACCTCTTCAGGCTGAGTCATAGAGTCTTCTTACCCAGAAAGCCGTGATCGGGAGGGAGGGTCACCTCACTGGGGCTCCCCTGCCGACGGTTTTCATTCTCTCTCTCTCTCTCTCTCTCTCTCTCTCTCTCTGACTCTGTCTCTGTGTGTGTTCACGTGTGTGCATGTGCAGAGGCCAGAGTTCACCCTGGACATCATTCCTCAGGGTATGCACCACCATGACCTGCAGGGTTTCCAGTTTTTGTTGGTTTTGCAGCTCTGTGGGGTTGGACTTACGGCCTTGTGACTCTGGGCAAGCACTTTGCTGCTGAGCTGCCTCACAGATCTTTGCTTCTTTTTTTTTTGGAGGCAGGGTTCACTAGGCCTCTCAAGTGTCAGGATAAAAAGCCTACACTGCCAGCCCCAACAAGGGATTGCAAACTTCTCAGTGATTGACATGCGAAAGTCAAATCTGTGTTTAGTTCTTGGAGGATGGAATGATTATCTTCTGTGTGATTAACAATTAGCATCTCCATTTCACGTGGCGTGTGGACAGAGCTAACAACCATTCCTAATTGGCAGCCAGGAAAAGCAGGTCCATGTCAGCCTGGGCAACAGTACACCCTTGTTCTGTAAGCCCAAATGTGAGCAGCTGGGACATGGCAGAGCCAATGGGGTTGGGATTTGTAGAGAAGAAAGCCAAGCCACATTGGGCGTCATCACTCCCTACTCAGAAGAGACTGCTCTAGAGAGGAGTGATGCCTGGCTTCATGGTAGACTGAGCATTGAGACATGTCATCATCTTGAGCTGCTCGGCTTCATAGGAGAGCAACCTCAGAACCTGAGAGCTGACTGACGTGCATACCCTCAGTGCCCATGTGCTGGTCTGCCTGCCTTCCACTGTCTCTGCAGGTTGTTGGGATATTGTGGCCATTGTACCAACCAATTAGGGCCACAGGTGGCCTGTGCACAGCCCCATAGGCTGGCACTGAGCTAACTAGCTGTTCATTTAGCAATTTGGTGGCCCTTCTGCTAGGGAGTGCTGCACAAATCCTGCTCTATGTCAGACCTACCTAGCTCAGTTCTTCGACCCAAGAGATACTCGTAAGCTCGTGAAGGACTCCATCCCAGCCACAGGCACAGCAGAGGGCCTCACCCTCCTGGAGGTAGGCAGGGAATTGCCCTCTGTGGCCTGTGTGAATCCCAGTGACTCCAGGAGCCTCTTGTGAGTGGGTGGTCCACAAAGGAGCCCGGGCTGTTTGTACTTCCTGGGCCTCAGGAAGGTAGAGGCCTGTTCCACCCTCACTATGGCACACGAAGGGCCAATCTGGACAACTTCAGAGTGCCGGGATCTCATTCAGGCTGACGTGGGGTCAGAGCTGCAGGTTGGTGACTTTTGTTAAGCAGTGGAATCCAGTTCTGGCAGTGCAGGCTTCTCATGCTGACACCCTGGATGCCGAGGCAGGAGAATGGCAGGTTTGACATTCAGACAAGCCCGAACAAAAGGATAAGGCTTTGTCTCAAAATAAGAAGTGGCCGGGCTGTAGCCCAGTGGTAGAATGCTTGCCTAGACTGAGGGCCTGTGCTTCACTCCAGTCAGTGGCGTCTTCTCTCCCTCCCCAGAGCCTGAGCTGGGCCCCTCAGCATCCTTCCGTGCATATTCGGGGTATGGCATTGCCAGAATTGCCTCTGAGCGTGTGGGCGTGGCCTTGGTGTGACTGCCCCCTGGACACCCCAAGACCAGCTGTGGCTGCTTTCTCTTCCAGGTCAGCTGTGAGATGCTTACGAAAATCCCAGTGCTCAGGAGCCTCCGTGAGCGAGAGAAACGGGCTGGGAAGGATGTCGCTCTTCAGGCCGAGCCTGGCAGCCAGCAGCCAGCTCCAAGCACTGTCAGGAGACCCCAGGATAGACCACAAGCAGGTTTCCGAGGAAGGTCCCATAGTCCCCTGCAGGGGACGGACACCCAACTAGCTGCCACTGTGTGCGTGGGAAACCTGCCCTACAATACTCGTGTGCGTGAGCTGAAGGGAGCCCTCCAGGAGCTGGGGGCAGTGCCCCTGAGGCTTACCTGGCAGGGGCCACAGCACAGGGCAATTCTACACTATACAGACTCAGCTGCTGCCCAGCAGGCTGCCTCTCTCCTACAGGGCCTACGTCTGGGTGCCAACGCCTTGAGGGTGTCACTGGGGCAGCAGAGGGATATGTGACCTGGCGAGCTGCCCCCAGCAGGAGAGTCACACCTTTTCTGCTGGGATGTGTGTGCCGTGTGACAGTTTGCCATTGGTGATGACCTGCTGCTGTGTAAGGCTCCTGCTCTGTTCTTCCTGGGAAGAGACCTGGGTAGGGACTTCCAGGATGCTGCAGGCTCTGGCCCATTCCAGTTCTGGGTCTTGTGACGTCCACGTGATCTTCTCCGGGTGCAGAAGGTTCAGGGCAGAGCAGACCAGACAAGAGGTAGACAATGGAGACCTGTTTCAGGGTGTTTGAGGACGAGAGCCGAGACCTGCAGAGAAGAGGCCATGCCTGGCAGGGATCGAGGGCATGTGGCAGAGCCGGGTGACCTTGCGACCACTGGAGAACCTCTAGCCCATCAGAACAGGAGTGGGAAGGGTGGGGCTTCTGCCCTGTGTTGTGTGCATGCATGGTGACATCTACCCAGGCTGCTTAGAGCCACGCTGTCTGTCAGGTGAGGATACGAGGAACATGGCTGCCTGTGCTCTCCCAAAAGCACTTGTGCCATTGATCCCAAGGAAAAACATAAGCATTTAGGTGGAGAGTTTATTTTGTTCAAATCTGCATGCCTGGCAAGTTTCTTGTTTTTACTGGGTCTTCCACAGTGTCTGTTAGCACCGTCCTCTGCCCCGGAATATTCATATAATTGTACTCATATTAAAGGAAAAGAATTTATGATATACATCTTCTTGCAGAGACCCAGCCTTAGGAAACAGTTCAGTAACCACCGCTTCCAAGTTGTCACAGGTGCCGTGAGGAGTGGCTGAGGGAAGCAGACTTGGGCTGTGCTGGCCTCTGCCTGGCCCCACCTCCCACTCCACAGCCACCCCATCCTCACCTGTTCTGCTCTCCTCAGAGTTCTGCCTGCCCCCTTGTGTCCCTTCTTACCGCTGATGTCCCAGGGGACAGCGCCTGCAGATTAGCAGTGTGGAGCTGTCTCTCCCCTCCTGCTGCAGACCTGCAGGGCATGAGCAACTCAGGAAATCCACACTTTACGTGAGCTGGGAGCTGGGAGATGACCCTTACTCAAGAGCCAGCCAAGCCTGAATCCCACCGGTGTGACTCAGGCCTCCCAGATAGCGTGGGCCTCCTGTCCCTTGTTGCCAGAATAATCCAGATGTGTTGACACACAGTGTAAGCCACTTGTGCCTGTGTAAAGTGTGTAAGCGCTGAAGGCCAGGTGCCCTCAGTCTAAGCCCAGGTAGATGCTACAGGGCTACCCCGTCTCTGTGCCTTTGAGGTCTGGTTCTCCAGATGACGGAAGCCACAGGTGACGATGTCACTGCATTCTTTGTCACTACAGTTGTATAGCACACATAATCAAAATGGACAGAGAGCTGCTGTCAGGTGCTGAGGTGACAAAGATGCTGTAAATGTCGCTGCAGGGTTCTGGGCCTCTCCACGCTTCCACTCATGGTTTTCCACTTTGCCAATAGTGGAGACCTGGGCAGAAGGATGACTGTTTGGGAGAAGTCGTCCTCAGGGATGCATCTCAAGCTGGCTGGCTTAAGTTGGGTAACTGTCACTGTGATGAACCACCATGACCAAGGCAACTTGGGAGGAAGGGTTTATTTTATTCACAGTTCCATACAACAGTTTGTCATCAAAATCAGTGAGGCCAGGAACTCAAGCAGGGCAGGAACCTGGAGCAGGAGCTGATGCAGAGGCCATGGCAGGGGCTGCTTACTGTTTGCTCCTCATGTCTTGCTCAGCCTATTTTCTTATAGAACCCCCAGCCCAGGGATGACCCTACCTACAATGTGGTCTGGGCCTTCCCGCATCAATCATAAGAAAATGTTCTGCAGGCTTCTCTGCAGCCTGATCTCATGGAGGCATTTTCCCAATTGAGGCTCCCTCCTCAGACGATTCTACCTTGTGTCAATTTGGCATAAAACTCTCGAACGCACTGGCCTCTCTCTGTGTGTGCCTGCCCTGCATCCTGGCTGTCCTGAGAGCAGAGCTCAATCTCCTGCCGGGACAGACTGATGCCTCAAGCTGAGTAAACCCTTCTGGGCATCTTGAAGAACTAATGCAGGACGATACAAACCAACAGCTTTCCTTGCATCCATTATAACATAACTTCTAGAAACGGAACAGCAGGGCCTAGAGACATGGTATAGCCCTTAGGAGCCCCTACTGCTCTTCCAGGAGACCTGAGTTCAGTTCCCTCCACCCATGATGACGTTACAAAGCTCACAAGCACCCCTGGCTTCAGCTACAGGAATCTGATGCCCTCCCTCATCTGTTCATGACTATCGCGTACCCACACGCATGCACACATGTGCGTGTATGCATACTAGCATTAAAACTAAGTAATTGAGACTGGCTGATGAGTTTACAGAAAGTGGTTGCAGATCCGCAGAAAGATGTCAGTTCCAACACGGCCAGCAAGATCTCAGTAGACGCTCCTCAGGGAACCAAGAAAATAGAGCATCAGGAATTGTTACCCACAGGACAGAGGACAGCAGAAGCTGGCCTGTGGTCTCCCACGTGCACACACATGAACGTGTAAACAGAATGAAGCCGGCTGGCAGAGGAGCTTCCGGGCAAAGACCTACCCAATGCCAGCTTCTAAGCCCCAGCCTAGAGATGAGAGGTGGTTACAAGGTTCAAACGTCCCGGTGAGGTTGCCTGCATCCCTTCTGCCCTGTGTCCTGTCCTGGTGAAGCCACACTTGCTACAGACGCCAGGGTACCCCAGAAGGAGAGGCCAGAGTAACAGCAGTCATTGTTCTGAGGAGCCAGATGGAGGCTTGAAGGATAGAACTCTGGAGAAGAGGCTGCCGAGCCGAGGGGTCACTTTATAGTTCTTAAATTTCTGCTCTGTAATAGAACACCATGGCCAAAAACAACGTGGGAAGGAGGGGCTTATTTCATCTTATCTGTCCATATCAGTCCGTCCTTAAAGGAAGTCAGGGCAGGGGTACGAGTCAGCTGATGCAGAGACCATGGGGGAGAGCCACTCCTCGAGGCTTGCTAAGCCTGCTTTCCTGTAGAGCCCAGGACTATCAACCTAGGGGTGGTACAGCCCTCCCTGTCAGCCATCGACCAAGAAAAGGCACCAAAAGCTTGCCCATGTGCCTGTCTAGTGGGGACATTTCTTCATTTGAGGTTCCCTCTTCCAAAAATGACCCCAGTTCGTGTCGAGTTGGTGTAAGACTAGCCATCACATTAGGAAAAATGTGTCTGTCAGGCACCCACAACAAACACCCACAGATCACCCCAGCACTCTGGATGGCCTGGCACATGAAAACACATTTAAAGGCACAGGCCTGATGGTCTTCTGTGGCCTGAGATTAGTTTTCTGTCTTTATAGAAGGAGCCAACACAGGCTCTCCTCCTGGTCTGATGGTGGGTTCTGGACAGCTGGGATGCTGTTACCCCACATCCCAGGCACCTGGGCCTGATGCCACCTCCTCCGGGTCCCCAACACCTGGCCTGTTTGTGACGCTTCTGAGGTTGCTGTTCCACAGCCCCAGCAGACGTAACCAAAGGCAGCCATGTTCCTGCACCTTTATCTGAGTTCTGTGACTAGCACCTCAAATAGAAGATAAGCCCTCAAAGAGAACATCAATTTTATTAGTTATTTTGGATTTTCTTTTATGTTCTGTTTTTTTTGAGACAAGAGTTTCCTCTGTGTAGCCCTGGTTGTTCTGAAACTCAATCTACAGACCCGGCTGGCCTCAAACTCAAGATCCGACTGCCTCTGCCTCTCACCACACTCAGCTTCAAATTTCCAAAATACTAGAGGCGTTCTACAAAGTAGATCTGCAACTAGACCCACATATATGGGCTACAGTGTAGGCGACACCCAACCTGTGGACCTCAGAACTCTTTAGTGGGCAATGCCTGCTGATCTCACACACTTCAAAATCCCTTTCCTTGCAATTGGACTATTCTCCCAAGAGCTCAAAGTCCCCTTTGGAGCTTGGTGTAACTTCCTAGGAAATGCTCTAGCCCTTCCCACCAGAAGCCATCACCCCCCCAAATCTGGCTAAAGTCATACCATGTTTGTCATCTGGAGACCAGTCCCATGCTGTGGTGGTGCTGGACTACCCTGTGGAGAGGACCCGGTGCCCAGCACTGCCAGGACCATGTGCCATTTTGGAAGAGATCCCAGGCCAGGCGGAGGAGCCCTGAGGATCTGGTCCTACTGAGGCAGCCATATAGCCTCATGAGTGAAATGACTTATGGTTAAGCCCCTGAACTTGGGTGCAAGTGTTTTTTCCTCAGTAATCAATCCTCACCTGTGGTCACAGATGGTGATGGACACAGGTAGCTCATCAAGCATAGACCTGTATTTCCGCTGAAGAATGGCAAGTCACAGGATATAGGTAGAGGGTTCATCCTAACCTCTGTTATCATTGTGGTTGAAGGTCCTCTGCTAGCTGAGTCCCAGAAGCCAAGCAAGTTGCTCTTTACCCCCCAGTGAGCAGGATCAAGCTAGGGCCATTTGGCAGGAGGGAAAACCAGCCCTTCCCTATGTGATGACTTCGGTCTTCCTACAGCAGAAGAAACATGGGTCTGGGTCTGTGGCATGGGCATCAGTCACCCAGTGTGCTGGGCCCATCCAGCATCCATCCTGCATCCTTCAGTTCAAGCCTCTCACCTCTAGGCTTTGGTCGCTGCCCTTTGGTGCTCCTGTGGTCACACTGCAGGTCACAAGGACTCTGTAGGTCTTCCCCATCCTTCCCAGAGCCTCAGAGAGTCTGGGTCACCCAGGATCCGCCACAGAGACGTCCAGACAAGCAGATTTAGGTAAGGAGCTGCACTTCTGTTCCCTTGCAGGGACAGGGCTGTCTCCTGTGAATGGAGTCCTTTATTTTCCAGGGCTATAAATCCACAAGATTGAAATGGGAGCTGACGTGCGTCTGTGTGGTGTAGACGTCCCATACTTCGGTGGTTGGTAGCCGTAAGCATCGGCCTTGAGGTGCTGAGCTGTGGGTAAATCTAACATGGCTCCCACCTGCAGGTCCAACAGACCCACCAGAAGGAGCAATTTTCCAGAGAAGGGTCTCAGACCAGAACTGGCTGACGTCCTGGAGCCTGGCCCTGTTGAATGGAAAAAGGCCGTTCCCAGGGGGAACACTGACCTGCCACAAGCCAGGCCTCCTGGCCAACCGGAAGCCACAGCAGCTTGTCAGAACACAGAGAACATTTAGTGGTTGAAGAATCCCAAGTCAGTGCCACACACTGCCTGAAGGGTGGGGCGGGTTTGCAGTGCCTTCTAGCTGTGTGACCTCAGACAAGGTCTCACCCTCTCTGTGCCTGAGTAAACGCTTTTGAGACTTACAGTATACTTCTCAGGTCACCAGGCACCACAGGAGGAAAGCAAACAAAGTTAGAAAGAGGCGGATCGAGGAATCCACCCAGTGGCCCGGAGCCCTGGTACGTCCGTCTGTTATCTGCTCCTCTTGGGGCCACGGGGTCTCCGTGTGCAGGGCATGTGTCCACAGGCCGCAAAGCTGCCTGGGATTGGGCTGAAAATGATGCAACCTTCCACTTTTCTGAAGCCCCATTGTTTGTGCGACTAGGAAAAGAAATTAATTCAACTTCCAACAAAAATAATCCATCTCCCCTAAGCTCCCCTAAACCAAGGGCCTTGAATAGGGTCGAATCATCTGGGCACCTATGCTTGCCTCCCGGTGAAACCCATTTTCTGTAGTTCTCACAGTTCTGTAACGCGAACTGTGAGAAATGGACAGCAGGGGGCGCTGTCGCCTCGTGAGAGATAGGAACAACGTCCCAGGGTAGCCCTAGTGTTTCTCCGAGTGTTATCCGAGGTTCCCTCTCCTTTTCAAGGGGTCCCTAACCTTGAGCTCTCTCCCTGTACTGACACCACAACAAAGTGTGTCCTGTTGCTCCTTCCCCGCCCCTGCCTACCTGCTGCCCTGCCCCCCTGTGTAGCAGGTCACACACAGGTCCATCTCTCAGACTCAGCCCCACTACTGGAGCGGGTGCTGGGGGTCCAGTGAGAGCCCATGCCTGTCAGGCCCCTATCACAGAAACCCAGAGACATCATGTGCCTATCTAGAACATGCTTTCAGGACACATTCCCAAAGACGGACGAGTTGTCCTTTTTTTCAGGGACATCTAAGAACCTGGCATTCTTCCACATGGCCATGGCCGGGACACTCAGGGAACATGGGGCCCCTGCCTCCCTGGTGTGATGTCAGTAGTCTTAATAAGATGCTCAGAGAGGTTTGGCATATGGTCCCTCCCCGGCCAGTGCTGTGTCACCACAAGGGCATTGAACACCAGAACTATTCTAGAGCGGTGCTGGCTGGGTCTGCTCTGGCCAGGCAAACGGCCCACTCAAAGGGCCCTGCCTGTTCTATGGCTGAGTTTAGCTCTGTTCAGACTGTTCCACCTATTGTCTCCTGGGTGGCCCAAGCCCAGTGACATCCTTTCATGGGATCCACGTGAGCCTTCCTGGTACTGGAAACATTGGCAGGACCCTGGGTCTGCTCTCAGCAGAGAACACACACAGTCACACCTTGGTAATCTCACCTTCCTGTCGGGCTCTCCTCAAAGTTTCTGTGTGGCCAGCCAGGTGACTGTGGACACCAACTGGCAACAGCAGGGCTGTTCCGACCTGTCCCCTGTGAAGGAGTCCGATGGCAGGCATCCATGGGCTCTCAGTGTGGGTGGATTGAACAGCCGTGGCCACTCTTTACCTGTCAGATCATACTCCTCTCTGGGCTGTCAAAGCACACCAGAAATTATCACAGGGGTGGGAGTAGAGATCTATGGTAGATGGCAACCTAAGAGTGAGACCCTGGCTACAGAACCATTGCAGAAAGTGGGAGGGGCGGGGAGAAGTGGGCGGGGACTGGCTGAGGAAATCCAAGCAGGGGATAAAGCTCACCGTTAAAGCTCCACGGGAATCCAGTGACTGGTACTGCACCCTCCTCCCAGGATTGCAGGAAAGAAGGCCCCCTCCTCTCGTTAAGGAGACCCCGCATCTGAGAAACGGGATCAGGCAGCCGCACCCTACCGCTATCCACAGCATCTGTGGTCCTGTGTCAACTTTTGCTTGACATGTATTTCCACAGTACCAAGGGCTGGAGAAAGAAAGGGAGCGGGTGGGGTAGGGGGGATAGGAATGGCAGGCTCTGTAACTCTGGGAAGTCAGAGTCCTCGGGCTGGGAGCCGTAGCCCTTCTGGGCTCAGTGAGAAAGCTGGGCTGGATCTGGACTTCCTCATCACTGCCCTCTCCACCGACAATGGGTTATCCATCCGAACAGGTCAAAGGCTTCGGGGTCAGAAAACCCGGGGCCTGAGCCTCAGGCCCTGGTTCTTATTTTACCCTTGTCCTCTCTGAGTTTGGCTTTCATGGCTGGAGTGTGGGGAGGGGAAGAGTGAGAGCCACCTAAGGGGCTGTGGAGAGAACGAGCTGAGCTGTGGAGAGGGCTGGGCTGTGGGGATAAGAATGTCACCAGAATGCTGCCTGCTACCCTGGTCACCCAAGTTTCCCCCAAGCCGCCGCCGCTGAAGCCAGAGCAGGCAGGAGAGGGCAGCAGAGGCCAGACCAAGCTACCTCAGCAGGGATCCAGGGGGTTGATCTGAGGAAGACCTCAGGCTTCAGCCCTTACCAGGATTCCTGTCAATCTGTGGGGAGGACCTGTCAAGGGGTGTGGACTTTCCCTGTCTCTCCCTCAGGTAGTTACAGACTGAGACAGACTCCCAACTCCCGTGTGGTGGGTCTCACAGAGCCACTGGCATAAGTAAAGTGACCTTTCTTCTCTCATCCTGGGACCAAGTGTCAGAATATTCTGGTAGTCTGTGTAGGACTCTCAGGCCCAACTGGATGTTCATAGGAAGCACCCAAGAGGAGGCTCCTGGAAAGCGAGGATTGGTTCCTACTTGCTGCATTTTCCCCACCCCCCATCCTTACAGTGAGAAACCCCAGGAGTCCGAAGGCCACCCGTTCTCCCTCCTGGGTGCCAGGAAAATCTGTCCCCTTCCTCCTGAGCACGTCACCGCTCCATCTTTCTGGAACAACACTGTCAGAGAAGAGGAATTCAAAGACTAGGGTGGCTTGGTTTCCACAATGCCAGGTGGCCTCAGGGTAAGGACTCCAGGTCAGTATTTCCACTCCCTTCCAGGGACACAGTCACTGGTAGGGGCCTGGCAGGCAGGGAGCCAGGCTTTGGTGCAGTACCAAGCCTTCCCTGCCCTGGACCCTTCAACCCCAAAGAGAAAGGCTGACAGTGTATAGATGGCGCCTCTGTGGGCCAGGCGCCTGCAGGCACAGCTCACAAACCCTGTTGCCCTGTAGGCCTTAGGTGCTGCTGTCAGACCCGGCCTGGGTTCAGGGTCCGGGCAGTTCCTCCTGCCTAGGTCTGTGGGACCCAGAGTCGGGGCCTCCGGGATTTATACCCAGGTCCGCAGGAGGAGGTTGTGGAGGGGACTGTGTTTTACCCACAGGGCCTAGCTGTGTGACTCCCTGCGGCTTGTCCATCTCCATGCCTCCTGCCTCCCACAGCCTTTGCCTCTGGACAGTTCTGCAAGGGTCCTTGGGTTTTAACTAACGCACGCTCCCAGTGAGGTGAGCTGACAGTAAGCACTCACACACAATTTCGTGTTGAGTTTTTAGCCTGTGACCTGCAGGTGTCCGAATGCTTTCTTGAGCACCGCAGTGGGCGCTTCCCATCAGGCGACCCTAAACCAAAATGAGCCCTGGAGAAACCCGGGCGCCACCACAGTGGCGGCGGCGGGAGACCTCGGGTGGCTGCTAGGCGATCTTCCCGGCCTAATCCGGCCCTTCTACGCTTGCCTGGAGCCCGCCCTCCTCCAGGGGAAGGACGGACTTTCCCTCTCACCCTCCGGCGGCGACAGATCAGGCGAGAGGCAGAGCCAGGCCCCCATCCCCTGGGTTTTGGCCAGTTCTGCCGGGGCGACTCTGGGTGCCTTCTACCCAGCTGGCCCTGATGTGGCGGAGCTGGGAAATTCCACTGAACCCCACACAGGAGTCGGAAGCCGGGGTCCGCGGTGCCGCCGGGACACGGAATCAATATGGGCGCGGGAGCCATAGCACCGGTGGCCGCCTCCGGGCTCCCTTGTCCTCGCTGGGGCACAGTCTGCCCCGGGAAGGGAGGCGCCCCGGCTCCAGGCAGTGACCCTAGGGCCTGAGGGCTTTTCCCTGGACCTGCTTTCCTGCCCAAGGGGAGGCCTGAGGAGAGGCGGCCCCTGGTTTCGAACCTGCCCCAGGACGCGGTACGGGGAAAGCAGAGAGGCCGCAGCCCCCGCCCGATGCTCCAGCCGCCCTAGCTCCTGCTTTTCTCCCGTCCTCTTTATCTGGGTTTTATAGACAGCTGTTAGTTGGGGACATTAATTGCCCGGACTAGTTTATTGATAATTTTGATGTAACAGAGCACCGGAGAAATTACCCTCCCGTCCAGAATGTCAAGTCTTGAGAAGAAGCAGGTTCTGGGGCGCGACCCCACGGTGCACAGACACTGCGGTGGGTCAGGACCGCGGCACCAACAATTCTGTTTGTTTTCCTAGGTGGGTGGTTGGTGATGGCGATGGTGGTCAGGGGAGACCGGGGCTTAGCTGTTCGTTGTCTCCAGAAGAGGAAGGAAAAAATACGGTTTAAAGGGGAAATATGTTCCGGGAGGGAGCGTGGGCGTAGCCCTGAGCACCCACGGATGCTCCGTCTCTTCCTGACTGGGTTTTACAGGACTCCACAGGAGAAAGGCATCGGGCAATTAAAAAAAAAACCAAGTAGGCAAAATAAGTAAAAACAAACAAACAAAGCTTTGAAGTTGCTTCATTTATCTACAACAGAATGCAAGGCAGGCCAGGCTCGCCCCTAGAATGAAGGACTCACTGGGCTCATGGTAGCAGAAAAATTATGCATAAATATATGTAAAGACCATGTGTGTATGTGTGCACACACTTGCTTTTCCCTGGGATGAAGGTCTACATTTTTTCTTTAAATGTGTGATTATTTCTTCAAGCTAAGGAATGGCATTTAGAGGGACAACGGAGGACTCCTCTTCAGAAGACAGAAATGAAGAAAAAGTTATCCCTTCTCAGCTTTTACTCCAGCGTGAAATAAAGGATGAAGAGGGCCAATTGGGAAAGACAAAGTTCAGAATCACCTACATTTAATCCCACCGCCCAGAGCTGACACTCCTGAGGTAGTAACTAGTTGGTCTACTATTTCTCCCAAAAAACAGGCATTCTGATTTATGTCTAGCAACAGGAGTTTTGGAGGCCTTGTACAAATGTTATACATTTTTATTTTTGTTCTTTTTGTAGGAAAAAAAAATACACAAAAAGCATACCCTCAGATTGTCCCTTTTATACAGTGCAGAAAGGAGGTTTAAAATATGTGTCACAGATGCCGCACCTCTGCGGCCAAAATACTAAAAGGGGGGAAAGGGGACAGTCCTTCATATTATATATATTTATATAAAACATATGGAAATTTGTTTTTACACAGATTGGTCTTTGTTTCAAATTTACAATGGTTATCTAAAAAAACACACACACAATAATGACAACAACTCTACATGGCAAATATTGCCAACCAAGTCACACCATTAATACTGAGAGGGCAGAGCTACGTGGTGTTTTGAGTAAGGAAGTAAAGCAGAATAAATAGCAGGCTGAGCCCGTCTACCGTGTCAGAGCGCCTGAACTACACCGGCCAGATCGAACCTAGGTTCCCCCATCTCACTGTGTTCCTTTCTTTTCAGAGAGTCACAGTCGAGACAGAAAAACACCCAGGGGAAAAGTCAAAATGTAACTCCAAGCAAGGTGAAAAACAGACGCTGGAGGACGAAGAAGAAAATGGACGGCCGGAGGCTGGGACAGAGCTTCTCAGACACTGTTCTCTTTTTTTTTTAAAAAAAAGACAAACAGTGGCTTCAGGTATCTGTGTCATTCCCATAAAGATTCACCTGTGATTGCTGGAAGAGACCCCGGGTTGGGAGAGGGGATGCCACACCTGGTCCCATTCTCCTCCCCGGAAGGGGGAGAAAGATGGCTGAAGAGAGAGCTGTTCAAGACATTCTTTCAAAAAGTTAAAAACTAAAAGATAAATACTCAACCAAAAATAAAAGTTTTTGATGACTGGTCTCTCGTGTCTCTTTTTTTCTTAAAACAACTGTCCTTGGGTGTGGGAGGGGCGGAGAGACCTCTGCAGAACTCTTCCCGTGTATCTGGCTTCCCCGAGGACACAGGACACAGCACCTCCGTGGCCGCTTTCAATGGGGTTGAAAATAAGTATTTATTTACTGACAGCTGCACTGCGACCTGGCCCCACAGCCGCTGTTTTTTTAGAAATTAGTGAGGGAGTGGGGGTGGAGTCGCCAGCCGCTACTCCCAGTCTGTGTTGGGGTTTTCTTTACAAATAATCCGTTAGGGGTGGGGCTGTCCCTTTTCTCTTGCTGACGCGTTATACCTCCAGAGTAAAGCAGTTTGTGGCGGTGGGCTCCTGGTCCCTGGGCCGGCCAGGCTGGGCTGGAGGGCCTGTTGGCCTCACCTCACATCACACAGGGCTTGATGTCTTGATAGGTGACCTGCTGGTGATAGTAAGACCCTCCACCAGTAGTGTGCATAGAAGAAGAGGCCATGGCATTGAAAGAGAAGACAAACTCCTTTCTGTCACACATGCTGGGTGACTGCGAGTGATACCGAGGGATGCCTGTAGGGCAAGGTGACAGCAAGAGGTAGAAGCAAAACATTAGATTACACAGGCGAGAGTTCAGGACGCAGCCTAGAAGCCCCAACAAACTTGGGTGTAGCAGGCAGGCAGCTCAGCCTTGCTCACCACACTCCTCCTAGCCCCACTTCCTAGTAAAACTGACCTTCCTGGGGCTCACAGCCCTCAGCGGGGGACTGAAATAGCCCCTCGCTGTGGTTCTCTGGACCTGGACTAATAACTGGCTTTAAGTCCTGCTTGTGGGGCTTCCAGCGGCTTGGGCCTCTCCAGCCTGGACTCCGTGCCTGGCGGAGGGCTTCTTTGATTCGGAAGGGGAAGAAGGCCCAGGAAGCCGTTATGGCTTCTGATGCCCCAGAGCCTGGATTGCTGAGATTTCTACAGTCGCCACTTCCACCCTTGTGGAGCCAGATGCCCAATGCGGGGTCAACAGGATTCAAAGCCTGCATCAAGGTTCAGTCAACTGAAGAGTCCCTTGAAGGACAGGCACATGCAGGGGGGTGACCCTGTGGAAAGCTGGGCTACCAACTAACCACCTCTCTCCTCGGGTCTGCCTCCCTGGGGCCGCACTGACAGGTTATTTATGGCTATCCCTCTGCCCATTTTTCCTTCCAGAACTAGGCTCGGAAGCTGAAAGTTATCTTCTTTTTCAGTGGGGGAGTTCTGGGGTGGGCTCTAAGGGGTCTTGAAACCTGGATCCTCAAAGACAAAGAGCGTTGGGGCTAAAAAATCGGACACCCCCCCCAACTCTACCACACAAGGTCCAGCTTATGTCAGCACAAAATGCCCCTGGACTCACCAAACCAGGTTTCCTGAAGGGCCTGGGCTGGGCCTCTCAGTGTTTGGCCCAGGCCGCTTTGGGCCTAATGCTTGCTTTGGGCCTAACTCTTCCGTTCTTGCCTGACACAGATTTTTCACATGGGAAGTATCCGAAAGGTGGGCCCGCTGGCCAGGACTAGGCCCCTGGCTAGATACACAGGGCCTTTGCTAGAGGCGAAGGAACCCACATGTCCAACGGACTTAAGAGCGCTGGGGTCTAAGTCTTTTTGGTGTGAATGGGGCCTACCTGGTCAAGCTTGGGACAGGCAGAAAAGAGAAGCGAGAACCGAAACTCGACCAGTCTAAACCCGGGGTATCAAAACTGCGCTCATTCCTCAAAGAGAGAACAGTTGGTACCCAAAGGTCCGGTGGGCTGCTGCCTCCCCTCAGAGTGGAGGCTCGTACTCTAGAAGCATGATTGGCTCACAGTGACTGTCAAAGCACGAGTCTGGGGTTGGAGACCCCTGAACTCACCTTGCAGTTCCGCTGGCCCGTTGTGACTGTTTTGGTGCAGGTATGGCTGGTCCAGGGAGTGCGTGGAGATGCTGCCAGACAAGGGGTTGGCCGCTGGGTTGCAAGGGGACAGAGGCTGTTGCTTGATGTAGGAGGCCCCGCTGTTGAGAGCCGCGGAGGCCGCGGGCGGCCAGGCTGCTGTGGAGCTGGAGTAAACGGCGTGCGGCTCCATGACCCCGCCGGCGCCGGCCGGCAGCAGCGGAGAAGCGGGCACTGAGCTGTCGTGGTGCGGATACTCCCCGGCCGCAGAGCCACCGCAGCCACCCATGTACGAGTGGCCGCCGTTGGAGGGCAGGTGTGGCACTGAGTGGCTGGGCAAAGCCATGCCGTCCACGTTGCCCGCCAAGTGGCCATTCATCATACCCAAGCCGCCTTCCAGCGCCAGGCTGTTGGGCGCGCAGGAGAGGCCTCCGGAGCCCTGGAAGCCGTAGGTGTCGGGGAGGTGATTGAAGCCCAGGCCGTTCACCATGCTGTATACAGGCTTGAGCGCCTGGCATTTCCTTCGGAAGCCGCGCGGCCGCCGGCGGAACGAGCCCTCCTCGAACATAAACTCGCTAGCCGGGTCGATGGTCCAGTAGTGGCCCTTGCCCGGTCGCCCGAGGCCCTTGGGCAGTTTGATGAAGCACTCGTTGAGCGACAGGTTGTGGCGCACAGAGTTCTTCCAGCCCTGGTAGGCGCCGCGGAAGAAGGGGAAGCGCGCCTGAAGAAACTGGTAGATCTCGCTGAGCGTCAGGCGCTTGCTGGGCGAGCTCTGGATGGCCATGACGATGAGCGCGATGTACGAGTAGGGCGGCTTCTCCGGCCGCCGCACGCCGGCGTTGGTCTTCTTGGCCTTGGTGGGGCCCGCCGCCGCGGGGTCCATGGCCTGGCCGCCCGCGCCGCCGCCTCCTCCTGTGCCCCCGCCGTGCGGCGGCTGCTGCTTGTCGGGCGCGGACATCGGGTGGCTGCTGCCGCCGCCGCTGCCGCCGCTGCTCTGCGCCGCCGAGCCGGGAGGAGGAGGAGCAGGAGGGGAGGGAGGGGAGGGGGCTGCGCGGGGCGGCTGCACCTCTGCCGTCACTGCGGCTCCCGAGCGCGCCTCCCCCGCGCGCCCGCCCTCCCCAGGCGCGCTATTCTCCTCCTCCTCCTCCTCCTCCCTGCGGGAGGCCACGCGCATCAGGGGGCCCGGCACCGCCCCCCCTCTCGCCTACCCTCCCCCGTGTACGCTTTTGCGCCCCCGCAGCTTGTAGTGTCCGATCCCCCTTATTCAGTGGGCTCAAGCCCCCCCAGGTCCCTCCCCACGCGTCCCCAGCCCCCCCTCCACCCCCGCTCCGCGGACTGCGCAGCCCGCCCCGCCTCTGCCGACCTGGACCCGGTGCGCCGGTCCCCGCCTCCTAGGCCCGGATGACCGGGCAGGACACGCACCCGGGACCCCGTCTTCCCGACGCACTGGGTTGCGGCGGTGGCGGAGGCCTTGGGTCGTGACCAGCGCGGGCAGAGCGAGCGTTTGGGTTCTCGGCCCCCGGGGCAGGACGGCGTAAGTTCCCGAGAGGGACCGCCTCCCCTCACTCCCCGCCCTGGGAAGCGCTGCGCCGGCGCCCGGCGCTCCTCGGACTCGCCCAACCGCGCTGCAGCCACTGCCCCGGCCGAGCGCGGGCGGGCGGAAAACGAAACCGCAGGCGGCTTCGCGGGCGCTTTGTCTCCAAGCGCTGCAAGCGGGACCCGGAGAGTGGCTTCAGGTCGCGCAGTGCCACGAACCGCACAGGTTCCCTAGCAGGCGGCTCCGTACACTCATTCATGAAGGCGCACACGCGCGTGCATTAACACTCGCCCGGACCACATGTGCAACGATGCCTCCGAGCGAATCCGCAAATCACCAACTCAGACGCGGAGGCTTGCACCCAGTGCGCGTCCCATTCACGTTCCCCAGGGTACCCCAGGGAGCTGCCACTCTCAGATCTGAACTCACAGAGCAGACTCTCCTCGTAGCCCCCTCCCCCCACGCTTAACTCTGAAATCTGCTTAGTTGGCCCCGCGGCCCCGTGTCCCCTTTTACAAGCGCAGGTTCTGATTTCCTGAGAGATGGCAAAGTCCCGGGCAGGAAGTTTACAAGGCTCAACGTAAACACGTTCCGGGGGATCCTTTAATAATAAGAGTAGAGAAGCCCGCGGGCGCGGGGGGAGTTGGCCTGATGCCCCTATGGGCTCGGCCTGCCGCCGCCGCGGGGCCTCCGACGCTGCGCGCCAGGCCGGGTTCCGGAAAGCCGGTGGCGCAGACGGGGAGCGCTGCAGGGAGCGGCCCTGGCTGCCGGGTCGCGGCCGTGGAGAGGTGATGCGGGGCGCAGGACCTCTCAGGATCCCGGCTGGACTCTGCGCGCGCGATATCAGGTGAGTGTGGGCCTTCCGCAGCCCAGAAACGCGCGCGCGCGGGGCTCCCTAGTGGAAGGGAGGGTGACACGAGTTGGTGCCAGGGACCGTGGAGCAAGGCGGCTGCGCCCTGGCGCGAACTGTAAGAAGGGATGCGTGCGGGTCTTCTTCAAAGCCTGCTGGCCTCAAGTTTCTCTGGATTTCTGGTTCCCTGTCTCCTCCCCACCCCCACGCGTTCAGCTTTGGTGGTAGGCGCCTTGTCGCCTTCGAGGCGCCTGGCACATCTGTGCGAGGGTCTTGGGGCTTAGTGACTTAGGTTACTGCTCTGTAGCTGCCTCCTTTGGTAGGGCCAGGTTCGCAGGAGGCGAGAGTCGCCAACCCGGAACTTTCTCCAGGACAGACTTTAGAACTCTGTGGTCCAACTAAATAAAAAGGGCGGAAGGGGACGTGAACGCTTCTATGTGGTTATGTGTTCGTGCACATAGACGCTCTGGCAAGCCGGCTTCTGCGTCACGCAGTCGGCCTAGCCAGCATCCTTCAGAACCATCCAGACTGGCGTCCGCCTTCTCAGGGGATTTATGTACAGTTCAGGGGCCCCACCCTGGGACGACGCACCACACGTAGTCTGCACGCTGCTGGACTGTGCCTTCGCCCACACATAGCCACAGAATCACAAGAATGGGCCTTGTAGGCCAGGGCACACCCTCCCACCCCAGGCCACGCATTCCCACACCCCCAATTTTTCCTTTCTTTCCGGTTTCTTTTCCTCTCCATTATATTCTTTTTATGTCCATTTTATCTCCCCACTGGCAACTCCAGACCTGGGAACTCTAGGCTGCACCTCAGGGAGGGAAGTTCTCAGGTCACTACATATCTGGCCTTTAACGAGAAGTGAGCCGAGGAAGGCGTCCAATTTCTGAGCAAGCACAGGCTGCATTTTGCACGCTACCCCAATCCAAGAAAGTGGCAGCCGGCTGTGCCTCTGACCTCAGATCAAGGGTGCCTCCAAATCGAGGGGGCATGAAGCCCTTTTCCAAGTAGAGGATTTTGCCCACAGGTAATCTCCAGATCTGTCCTCTCCCTGAACTCCCACAAACCACACCGTCTTTCAGAAAGCCCTTCCCTTGGAGGCTCCTTAGGTTGTTTTGTAGAGAGGGTTCCTTTCCAGGGAAGGAAACTGAAGTCGGAGGTCCACTTGCCCTTCGGTCTTTAGGCCTAGACCCTAAAGCTGCCTGTGAGGGTAGGATCAGGATAGCAGTCGTGTGGCAGGTAAGAAAGGAGGCCCAGCAGCACGAGGCTCAGCCCAAATTCCCACTTTCCACTGAGGAGGGAGATGGAAGTGGTACCCAAGAGCGTAGAGAGTCCGAGAGCCTCATCCTGCAGCTTGGGCTATTCTCTGTGCAGTTAAACTACAGTTCTAGCAATGGGGGCAGAGTGTCTATGTGTGACACTCTGAAATCTCCCCTAAATCTCGTGGGGCTCTACCCCTTGCTGGCTGAACATGTCTCCTGGTCCCATAAACCATCTCCAACTTTTATAAAGTGTCAACTGCAGCTGGAGGGGCATGCATAGCCCTTGGTCATTTTGTGTAACTGAGTCTGACTTCAGGAGCCGGGTCACTATGCCTTCCTCCTGAGAGGCTGAGGGAGCCGCTTCCCCCAATATTCCACTCACAAATTAGGACACTCTCGGCCTTTTTGTTCTGAGCCAAATTTCTCCCTTTAATTGTGGCTCCAACTAAAGCACCCACTTCTTACGGTTGTGGCAGCGATGAGCTGGGACTACAGGAAAGGACGAATGTCATACAAAGTCTCCCTGGGAGCAGCCCCAGGGAAGCAGGGTCCGGGTCCATAGGGTGGTACTTGCTCTCAGTTGAAAATTCACAAGACTCCCTCATCTCAAATCAAATCCCTGCGCTAAGCACTGGCCTCAGGAATGCCCACATTTCGGGAAGGACGCCCCTACTCCCGGGCCCCCCAGGTATCTGCGCTGGCTAATTGCTTAAGTGAAGCCGCCGGCCGAGAGCGCGCCCGGCGAAACCCGAGCGCGGAACCAGATCCTGCTTCGGCCGTCGGGCCGCGGGCGCCGCCGACCACCCACAGCGAGGCCGGCCGCCCTGCTGCACATTAGCAAGGGCCGACCCCACGCGAGATTGCGCATCTTCGCATCCAGAGGGAGCATGGGGGACACGGGCCGAAGTGCAGGGATGGAGAGGGGCGTGAACGTGATGCGGACAATTCAGCCTTTGGTCACCAGAATCGGGGTGCCCCTCTGCCTGATGAGGTTGACTCGTGGGCAGAGTGCACGCGTGGGACAGGTTCCAAGGACTGCCCTGGAAACTTGAGAGGGAGGTAGATGTAGAGGGGTGAATGGCGAGCAAATAAATACCATGCGTTCAGCCCTGCTCACGACTGGAGGACCTGTGTTTGGTGTTTGGCTTCTCGTGTTTGAATCGATATTTGAAGAGTCTAACTGGGCAGGACTCTTTCAGTCTATCCACCGGCTTCGTTGATAGATTGCCCAACTAAAGGTGTGTACAAAAGGCACTGGTGATCTGGAATTCCAGCATTCAGGAGAAGTCAGGAGGATCAGAAGTTCAAGGTCGTCCTTGAATTTAGCAAGTTCAGGGCGAGCCTAGGGTATCTGAGATCCCTGCCCCTCAAATTAAAAAAACAAAACACGGAGGATACACCCTGTATGCATGAACAAAGCCTGTGTGTGAGGTGTAATTACACCTGCAGGGTGTAACTGCTTTAGGCACAGTGGAGAAATGTGGACAGGATTGTGTGTTACAGGTGGAATGTTCTACAGTGTTCTAAATATGTGCCCAGATGGTAGAATATTGTAACTCTGTAGGCCTCTGGGTGTAGAGAGTGCTGTGAGCGGTTTCTGTCGGGTGTAGGATATGGAGCCCTCAAAACACAGCGTGAGGCAGCACTTGTACGGGCTGGGTGTTCTGCCTAACCAAAGTCAGGGGACTTGCTCTCAGTGGAAAGAGGTGAGGGGAGCCGATGGTTCACCGAGTCTGAGGCCTGCCAACTGCTAGTCACCGTCAGTTTCTAAAACCTGTATCTCTCCTAGGCACTCAACCCAGAGAACAGGTTAATAATGTAGTTTAAAAAATAAGGCTATGGGTGTGGCACAATTGGCAAAAACCAACCAAACGGCAACAAAAACACAAAACAAAAACTCCAAAACAAACAAAAAATTCACTTGCCAGGCACGCACAAAGCCCTGGGTTCCATACCCAGAACCAGATAAATTAGACTTGGTACAAGCCTGTAATCCCGTCCCTTGAGAGGTAGAGACAGGAGGATCAGAAATCGAAGGTCATCCTGAGCTAAGAGTAGCCTGGGCTACAGGACACTGTCTAAACAAGTAAATAAGGCCAGCACTTGGGTGCCAAAGCCTGAGCTTGCTTCTTCCCACTGGCCCTTATATCTCAAAGCGCCTTTTTCCATGACGTCCTTCAGTGAAATATTCGATGGCACTGCAGTCCTGGAATTTACAGCTCTTCCCTGAGAGCCTGTCGGGAGCTTTCCCGTATGGTCAGATCCTGTTACTCTAAGAAGGCTAGGTTCTGACGCCCGCCGTTCCTAGGC